CAAAAAAATTTGTGAAAGGAGAAACACATCGTAAATGAAGGTCTGGCGAACACTTATAAGACGCTCTGCCTCTTCGCCGTCCTATCTCCTCTATTCTGATATGAGAAACCCTTCTGGTCAAGGCAAAGACGGAATCAACAGTCGCGCCGTGCCCATTATGGCAAAACAGCAGGGCCTAGATAATGACATGACAGTCTGAAATTCACATAGCTTTGGAAATACTGTTGAGGAAAAGAGGGGGAAAATTTCACGCAATCACTTTTACGTACTGAACCAGAATTATAAACGCTGTTGTCTAGCATAACTTACGGCGCTCTTCCTTCTGAAAAACAAGAGGCGTTGTAAACTGGTGGAACTAATCTTTTCAAAAAACTCACAGTTAAAGTCTCTACACGAATTATTACCTGAATATCCAATAATAATCGTATAGAATTCTTTTACCTTGAGACTCCGTAATTTCCCTCGCATCTTCTTCTGACGAAGCTTTCTCAGCAGCTGTTGGCCAAGCGGTGTCACCTGAAACCAAATAACAATAAAACAAGACAAACCACATAAAATACAATAAGAGTACCCCAGTCGTCACCCCACTCATTCGAATCCTCCGACTTCGGCTGTACTTCCGGCTGTTCAGTTAACGAGGCTCGCAAAGCATGTTCACTGTCCGTCGTCGCCTTTCGAAAGGTTTCCACCTGGTCGTTCAGACGCTTAAAGGAAATCAGTCAACAATTAAATATCGAACGCACATCTCTGATGTCAAGTCAACTAGTAAGTATAAAGGACAAAACTAATAACAATAAGCAGTTGAATATTCATTCATGAACGAACACCGCACAACTTGATTTCGCTATTCCACTTGAAGATTGAATGTCGTCATATTAGCCTCCAACAGTACTGAATGTCCTGTTAATGTTCAACTGTACTAGAAATGGAACTGTTCGCGACAGAAGTACGTATTTAACTTTAAGATTTTAAAGAACTGTTCCGATGAATCACCTCTTGAGGGCAAGCAAAACTGTGAAAAATCCTGCTCCCTAAAAACCAATCTCTCGTCCTTGTCACAGGGAGAAGAGAATGATCAAAGTAAGGGATTGTTTGACTGAGTGAAATACGGTGGGAATCGTTTTCCTTAACCGCCACGGTAGCCGTGAAGACCTGTCGTGAAACCCGAAACGGTCAGCTAATGAGACTTTAATGGATTATCATAAAATAATGATTGGTGGTCATAACCACACAGCGGATTGGAAGCGGATACTACTTTTCAGCCGGGCGGCAAATGAGCTCTCCTTCGTATAAGCCAATAGCGACTAATGCCCAAGCAGACACCTGTCACCTTTTCACACTGGAGAAATAAGATTGTTAGATCGTGCTCTAGGTCTCCGTTGTTTCAAGGAGACAGATCATAAATGAACAGCCAATCAGAAGAAATCTTCATCTTCATCTTCCATCGCCGCTTCTCCTTTCGGGTCGCGGAGGCAGACGCGTCAGACAG